GCAGTGAGCTGGATCATGTCATTCAACACCAGGTGGATGAACAGGATGTAACGAGGATTCACGTAAAATATCTAAAAGAAAAAGAAGAAACAGCCTGTGTTGAGTGGTAATCTGTATGATTTAATCATTTTACGACAGAGATTAGTGAAAAATGACAGGAGGCTCTTACCTGGTGCTTCCTGAAAGTGTGAATCAGAGTGCCGTTGATGTAGTTGATGGTGAGGCCCAGAGCCAGGACGATCACATTTTTGGCCACGGCCGTGCTCACAGAGTCCCGAGTCGGCACAGAAATCGACATGTTGTAGTCAAAGGTTGAGGAATTCATGGAGCAAATCTTTGTGCAGGAAAAAGTCATTTAAGGATACTATAAAGATCTGAAAAGAGAATTTATCACATAGCAACTTCACATTTTCTAAAACCAAAGGCTCTAAATGGCGTTTATTCCTTTTCAGGCTTCTCCCTACCTTACCCCTCCCAACACATAAAACATCTCTGCTGACAGAAAAGCTTTACTATGAACTCAGAAGTCAAGATAACTAACCACAGCCTGTTTCAAACTTCTGTTCATTTCAATATCTGGTGTTGCAGTCATGAGAATTTTACATGAAGTAAATGAAAAGTGTCAAGTTTAGCTATTGTCTAAATCGTGAGGGTAATGAATACTCATACCATAAAGCAGACGTCTAACAGCTGGAAGATGGAAAGGCTTCCTACCTGAGGTGGGAAACATCAGACTCCGCTTTGATCAGTCAGGAAATGAGTGGACTGTGGCTGATGTGTTTATATGGAGCGGTCGCTCTGCTGGATGTGATGTCACTGTCATTTCTCTGGGTTGGTTCATTATGTCTGACACGCTGACCACTCGAGTATTTTTTCAACTAGATTCTTTTACATTTTCAGTATTGACTGAATGTGTTTCCAGGTAACCAACAGGGAAACGAACAAAGACAAGATCAGAAAAAAGTTTGTGGGTATTTTTCCCTCTCAGAAAAATGCGGTTACTTAACGCAATTACAGGTATTGACTGCCAAAACCTGACGTGAACAGTTTATTTTAGCCGGGATTTTTTCTGTGTGGAGTCCGCATGTTCTCCTCATTTCTTCGTGGGTTCTTAGAGGTCTTCTGATTCTCACTGTCCACAAACATGCTAGGAATGTGTAGTTGCTCAGAATTCGACTTATTGCTCATGTTTTAATGATTAGCCTGATGCCTGTTTGCGACTGTGAATAAACTGAATGGACCTGATGAGGACTTTCAACACTTTTAACTCATCCCATACTTGTTACTTGTAAGCAGTCTAAAAGTCTATTTTGGGGGATTTATAAAGTGTTATTTAACAAACATTTAGTCTCAATTTTCTAAATGCATAAAACCTATCGTTGCCAGCTTCTTAACTGTCTTTCTTTTGACATGGACACTCATGCACTGACCTTTTTAGATTCATCATAAAAGGCAAGTGAGATTGTTCTGAAGAGCAAGTGTTAGATTAGCGTTAACAATGTTTATATGGGAAACCTGTGTGGGAAATGGCCCATACAACCAATTAAGATCAAACTTGAGTCATCTGTTTTCAAGTCAGGAGAAAAAAGAATGAGCCATGATTGTTTTTAAAAAGTTTTTCAAATAATCTATATAATTTTGATATTAGAGAATTAATATTTTCTTTTTTCCTGCTCCTGATGCACTAAAGCTAACTGTTGAAAGCAGTTAAAAGACCAACAGAAAAATGAGGACATCTTTTAGACTTCTAAACCAAATTTCAGAAAGCTGACAGGCCTCGCTCTTACCAGAGTGTGGTTGTGCTGGAAAATAGTTTGTATCAGTTGCAGGGATTTCTTCCTGAGCTTTACGTCTTTTTCTTTTCTTTTTTTTTATTCCCACACTTACAAACTTTAAGTTGTCACATAACAGAAACAATGCAAAAAAAGCCCTCGTTGAGGGCCTTTGAATGGTCCTTCACGACCATTTACACAGCAGGTACCGTTTCAGGTACTTCCTGAAGGCGTTATCTCGCACGCCGTAGATGATTGGGCTGACCGATCTGGGCACCACCTGCACGGTAATGTAGGAGGCAAAGAGCACGTCGTTGTAGTGTTTGGGGAATGCTCTCTGCAGGACGTCTAATAACGGGGGAGACACGTACGTCGACATGCACAGCAGCACCTGGAACCCGTGCAGGAGGATGGTGTTCCGGGCCTTTTTTGCGTCTTTGCTCGCCGTTTTTGCGGTGAACAGAATCTTGAAGTAGGTGTAAATGATAACAATCCAAACTACAACCAGACACACTATATATGTCACGTCCCTCTTTTTCACAATGAGGGGATTTGGGAACACGGTGTGTCTGATGCAAAAGATTTTGGAGTTAAAGAAGCCGAGCGGCTCCGTGGCCAGAGTGATGAACAGGTCAGGAAGGACGGACAATACGCTGGTGGTCCAGATGAGTCCGATTAACGTCAGCGTCCGCTTGACGGTGCAGATCTGGACGTGACGGAGGGGCATGCAGACGGCGATGTAGCACTCCGCCGCCATGCAGGCCAGGTTCAGGGGGGTGTTCTCAGTGGTGAAGAGAGCGACCAGAATCATCACGCAGCACACAGACACGTTCAGGGTGTAGACGGTGTAGCTGATGATGAAAAGCGTGACGGTCAGAGACATCTGGATCATGTCGTTGACCACCATGTGAATGAAGAGGACGTAGCGGGGATTCGTGTGGAAAATCTGGAGGGAGAAATCACAGAAGACGGGGGAGCGAATTAACACAGTTGCAGAAACATCTGTGTTTTGTTGTAACCCCCCCTGGCCCTGATGTCGACAGTAACTTTAACTTGTTGTATTCTATCTGTAACAATAACTAAATAAATAAATCATGTTTTTTTTCTTTCTCTGCAAAAGGACATTGGAATCTAATCGTTTGCCATTATCAGTCCCAAAAAAAGAGTGCACAAACAAACACACAGACACAAATCTTAGACACAAAAGAGAAATGGATTAGCATGTGATCAAAGGCATACCAGACCTGGTGTTTGCGGTACGTGTGAATAAGTTTAACGTTGATGTAGTTGATGGAAATCCCAATGAATACAACGATCACATTTTTGGCCATAGCTTTGCCGAAGGAATCTGTAAACCGAGCGACCGATGTCGCATTCACAGAGGACGAGTTCATTTCTGGAAATCTTAGGATGGAGAAAAGCAAACATCAGAGAAAAAGACATGTGAATTCAACAAGAGAAAATACACAGACAGAATACAGCAACAGACTGTTTACGTGAGAAAAATGTCAAAAGAGATCCTTTTATATCAACAAAATGAAATAACTAAGTGTAAAATAACTTAGCAAAAATTATCAACAATCCTGATTGACTCACAAAAAAAGCTGAAACTGTCAAAAACTGGTGGATATAAAATAATTGGCCCCAAATGTCAGAAGCATCCAACTGAAAGCGACTGATGAAAACTAAAGTATTTATTTAGAATAAGAAACTCGGCTGAGCTGGAAAACCCTGAAACAGAAAATCTTGATGAAGCAAAAATATCTGAGAGAGGAGAAAAGCAGGAGAGGGGGTGTCCGGTGAGGTAGACAGCGATGGATGAAGGTGAGGAAGCAGGAGGAGGAATCTGATGAGGCTCGAACGAAACTAAAGAGCTTAAATACAAACGGCTGAAAAGAGTGAGTGTACCTGAGCGATCAGCTGCAGGTGAGGGGGGGAAAAGATGACGGCGGTGGAGGACCTGCGAGTGACGACACCACGCACACAAAACAACACACAAACTAACACAGAGAGAGAGAACGTATCAAGAAATTGAATCATAAAACAGTGACATTCTGTTTTCTGATTTAGGAAAAGATTTAAAGAAAGACAAAAGATTTTAATCTGAATCAAGTGCTTGACTATTTGTGAACGGACAACAATCAGGTCATAGAATTCTCCTGGTCTCACAGAGGAAAATGGAGAATGTACCCTAAATATGAGAAACTAGTGAAATTGAATTATACATATATATATATATATATATACTCAAAAGTTGAAAAAAATTATATATATGCTTTCAAAATTGTTATCTGGAATGAAAGATGTGAATATTTATTAAAAAAACACAAGACTTATCTTCAGCATGGCCTGCAGTGTAGACACAAGGTGCACAATCAACACAGTTGAAGGCCTCCGAAATCCAAAAGCTTCACATTGGAGGCTTTCCACTTGAATAGAGCCACGGAGAGGGAGGGGCGGACAGAGGATGGTGGACAAACTGAGGACAATAAGCTGACCATCCAGCTGGACAAGCGTGCTGGACACACTTTTTCATTATTTTGGCCATTATCTGTGTGAATCGGGAGACTGAGGGCGCTGAGGTTTGGTGTGTTTTGTGTTGTGGTGACACAGAGAAACCTATACAACTTGAGTTCGGAATAGACCGGAACATCCTCATGTCATTCCTGCTGTTAGTGGAACAGAAGCATGTCATCTCTGACAAACGTCTCTTTGTGGGATTGATTGACATTAAATCATTATTAAGGATTCACTTTAATTATTTAGAGATGGACATCAAAATCACATGTAGTTCCTCTGTTCTACAAATAAAAAACAAGCTACGCAGGCATGAATTAATTAAAAAATCACTTAATCTACTTCATCTTGCTTAGATCTTTGATAATTTCAAACAATAGAAATTTATTTACTGAACTAAATTATGATTTAATTCGTTATTAATATTTAATTAGAGTACACTGAGTACTGAAGTGGACATTCTTACTTTTGGCACATTTTACAGAATAGATATCTTTTCAGGTGCTTCCTAAAAGCTTTATCCCGTACGCCGTAGACAAATGAACTAACGGATCGTGGCAATACCTGAAAAATGATGTAACAAGCAAACAGAGAATCGGAATAATTACTGGGGAACCATTGCTCCAAAGCCTGTTTGACCAGCGGCTCTGCATACGTGGTCATGCACAGTAGGACCTGAAAGCCGTGCAGGACGATTGTGTTTCTGGCCTTTTTGGCGTCTTTGCTTGCTGATTTAGCCGTGAACAGGATCTTAAAGTAAGTGTAAAAGATAACGAGCCAGACCAGGACTAGATAGAGAATATAAGTGGCGTCCCTCCTCTTGATGAGGGTGGGATGTCGAAAAGCCGTCTCCCTGAGGCAGAAGACGTTGGAGTAAAAGTAGCTCAGCCGTTCGGTCGCCAAGGTGATGAATAGATCAGGAAGAACAGAGAGCATGCTGGTTGCCCAGATTAGGCCGACCAGCATCCACGTTCTCCTGATGGTGCAGATCCGGACGTGATGAAGGGGCATGCAGACGGCGATGTAGCACTCCACCGCCATGCAGGCCAGGTTCAGGGGGGTGTTCTCAGTGGTGAAGAGAGCGATGAGGATCAGCGTGCAGCACACAAAGACCTGGATCTTGTAGAGGATGTAGCTGATGATGAAGATGGAGATGGTCAGGCTCACTTGGATCATGTCGTTGATCACCAAGTGGAAGAACAGGATGTAACGGGGTTTTGTGTAGAAGATCTAAAAGGTTGGGAGAAAAGTACAGTACATGTGATGGAGGGGCAGGTTCTCCATCAGGAGAAAAGAAAGGAAAACATTGAGTTTCTATCAGAAACAATACCAAACTGAGTTTCATTGTTTTTTTTTTGTATAAAGATCCATTCACGAATCCACTCAATCATTCTTTCATACAACACTCAAACATTTTAAGTTTTATGAATGGTGCTAAGTTTAAGTTTATTCAAATGAAAACAAATTAAACTTAATTAGTGTTACACTGCATCATGTGTCAGGAACTTGTATCTTTTAAAAAACATTTTCCATGAATGTTTTATAAATGTTTGCCTCGTGTGTATTTGTGTGATATTTTAATACCATGGTAAGTTAATTATGTGTATTAGATTTAAGATTGGTAGCATTGCTGACCAGAGAGGCTGCCGATCCTCACCAGCTCACTCTGCCTTAAAGCCTCATGAAATCAAAAGCTAATTAATAGAATCAGTCAAAACAGGGACGCTTACAATAAAATAAAACACAATACAAAATGAACAAATTTGAAGTTTTCATTCATTGTCTGATATCGGTGTTTTTTACGTCATTCTTTTGTTAAACCAAAATGAGGGGTTTGTGCCATCACTGGGTTTACATTATGGATGCAATCTACAGTGTAAACTCAGTCCAAAATGCAATATTGCCTATTCCTCATTAATTTCAGATGAGGAAATGGTCACAACCTCCCTCCTTTTTAATTTGTAATAAACATTTAATCAATCAGTCAGTAAGGAAAGAGCCTGATTAAGTTGGAAGGAATAAACCATGAAGCATGTGAGGCAAGATTTTGATGTCTTTTTCAACTGTTGAATGTAATAACAAAAAATAAAAAAAGGTCTGACCTCTTGTTCGCAAAAGGTTTGGATGAGTCCTGCATTGATGTAGTTGATGGAAATGCCGAGAACCACAACGATGACATTTTTGGCAACAGCCTTGGTGAAGCTGTCCCGATACTCTATGACCACGGTCACATTTCCCGACGACACGTTCATTTCTGGAATGCTGTAAAAGGAACACAGGAGAAAACAAGACAATCCCGATCATGCAACAGCTGCTCTCAGTCCCAAATCCAGCTGTTTTACATTCACCTCAGACTTTTTCAGAAGCATATCAGACAGTTCATAATGAGCAACACGGATAATCTAGACTTCTCAGCAGAAACTACTGCACATTTTTGGGTTGCCAGTCTGGGTAGTTGAAATCTACCAGCTTTTGCACGTGGAAATACAAAAAACTTTCATTTTACAATTCAGAAATTCGACTTCTGCCAAAACAAATCAAATAAATAGATAGATAGATAGATAGATAGATAGATAGATAGATAGATAGATA